CGTGGGGATAAGGACACATATGTAATATCTTAATCAATAAAAAATATATTTAAAAAAAAAGAAACTTCAGTCTTTCTTTTCTGAAGACTATAAACCCATTTTTTTTCCTATTCCTAGTGCACACAACCCCTCACTCATTTGATACTAAATTATTGAATTTAGATAGAAAAGAGAAATCCAATGTTGAGAGTATAAGCTATATTAATAATATTTACCCTGCTACTAATTTGTTTTACTATTTACTAAAGCTAAATATTTGCTTTACCCTGGAAAATCAATTTACTATGGACCTAACTGGTTTGGCTCAGTGGATAGAGCGTCAGCAGACTGAAGGGTCGGGGTTTAATTCTGGTCAAGGACATACCTCGGTTGCAGGTTTGATCCCTGGCCCTAGCCAGAGCTCATGCAGGAGGCAACCAATCAATGTGTCTCTCTCACATGGATGTTTCTCTCTCACTGTTTCTCCCCATCCACTCTCTAAAAATCAATGGGAAAATATCCTCGGGTGAGGAAAAGGAAAGGAAGGGAGGGAGGGAGGAAGGGAGGAAAAACAATTTACTATGGAAATTCAACTATTTTGAACTTAAATCTATTTTCTCAAAGACAGAATTATGCACATCAAATTACCATTACAATGTATGAATTTACATGGTAGGTCATGCCTGTTTATATAGATAAGAGCAGTGGTCAAGAAAATTAAAATACATCCCTTCCATTCCTAGAATAGTTTGTATAAAGTCTAATAGCAGATTTACCTTCCTGTTTTATGTAATATTAAAAATAGATTTGAATTCCCAAATTTGTCAGCATACACTATAGCAGTGGGGTGGTGGTAAAAAAAAAAAAAAAAGACTAGAAATTAAAATAAAATTTTGCACTTCATAATTTGATTGTAAATATTGCATACCCAAATGCTTAGCAGAACAACTGGCACATAATAATATATTTGTTCACTGAAACAGGTGTTCAGTGACCTGAAAAACCTTATATATTTCCATAGCATACAGCCACTGCCAATGGTTGTTCGGGTTGTGCCTGTACAATGGCCCCTGACTCGGGGGTGAGCTGGGGCTGAAAGCCAGCCAGTTTCTCATGGAC